GGGGGGTATTATGTATTTTCCAGGCACTTTGTTTATTTCAATACCACAATCAAGTAATTATGTTACCTTCAGTAGTTGAGAAAAGCTGTGTATATCAAAAATAAATTGGACTTTGCATCAAAGTCTGTCTAAACCTTGAAATTAGCCTCTGTCTATTTAAGAACCTCCTACTGTTTCTGACACTCCTACTTCACACTTCAGCACATCTTCACAACAATGCTTCGGGGAAGGGGTGCTCTGTGGAGTTTAGCTACAGACCGAGCTCCTGGGAGGAGCTTTGTRCACATAGGCGGAGCTTTGTCCCAGTAAGTTTAGGCAGCTCCACATGGTTACTAGCCTGGCCCTTGCCAATTCTAGTTTCCCTTCACTGCAGACAAGGATTTCTTCAGGAGCAATTCGTCCGCGCCAATCAGAGAACAGAACGTYGATTTTCTGCRCAGTGTCTGCTARTTATTTTAGCATACGGCAGYGGAGGAAGTGAATGAAGCCAGTCYGTGTTGATAAGGCTTCCAAATTAAAATAAATTTGTCTGACAAAGCAGCAGCTCTCATTTACAGYCGTCTCGTTCRGCTCGGTACTTCTCTCAGTAGGGTTGTTTACAACGCACCCGATTTCCGGTTAGCTTCTTAGCTTAGCCTCCTTCTCAGCGACATACGTCGTGGYCAACTGATCCAATCATTTTCAACTTCAGCAGAGGCCACGCCTCCTGCAAGAATCACTTCTCTATARCTGAGAGTCCAGACCCTCGWATGAAGCAAAGTGAAGGACAAGGGTCTGGTTTTTACCAGGCTACATGGTTATAGGAGATTCAAGAATTTACCCAGTATGAATGAGTCAAAGCAACAGGAAGAAACATTATAATGAAAAGAAATTTAGACGTGTTTATTCACCRTATTATATGTTCAYAACCAGATAGGAAATACACCAACACTTGAATGTTTAAATGTGAAAAGAAGTCATACAACCACACCAGAGCTGGACTGAATTGCAGGTTTTAATGCGTTCTCTCCGTGCATTCAGCCAAGCATTTTAGGAAGTCCCTTCATTACATCATTTTCTTCAGGACCTGACTCCATCTATTGTCATTGTGTCACTCAAATGGGCCAGCCTCCAGCTGAAATCAGGTCCCCTTTCATATTTCCTTTCCTAGTGTTAAAACAGTGATTTGATTAAGTGTTGTAAGTGTTTCCAGGTATGCATCTAAGCCAGGGGTCTCCAACCAGTAGCTCGTGAGCTCATTTAAAGAAGCTCTTCAGTGCTTATGAAAAATTAGGAAAAGCAAAATTTAATTTGTCACCGGCCAAACAAACTTTAATTTAATTACAATCAACCTATAGAAATCCCTTCCCCTTGGTTGTCATTCAAACTGTTTATGTAAATTCAGTGTTCTTTGTGGTGGTTTCATGTGAAMTGAAGACAATGTTTTTTGTGCAAATCAAGCTTATTCCAATGATTTAAGTTCAAGTTTAAATTTAATGTTGCAAACAGTAGCTCTCGGACAATTTCATTTTGTGAAAATAGCTCTTAAGTAAGAAAAGGTTGGAGACCCCTGATCTAAGCTAACAGTACCTCCTGCCYTSRRCAACCATATTTTATAGCCAACCAGACCAGTCTGTGCATAAAATCATCATTTTAATCACAAAAATAATCACACAATAAAGATATCCTTATTCATCTAAGAAAATGTGTAGTGTTTTTAAAAATCAGTAGTAATCAAACCCCAATAAATTTCTTCAATAACATCGTATAAAGCTCAAAGTCGTTAAAAAACTATAAAGCTATAAAAGTTGTTTTCATAATACCCACTCCCCCTTTAAATCCGCCTAGTGTGGGAGATATTTTGGTAACAGACAAACTGAGCTGACTCCTGTAATAAATGCTAAAGGTTTGGCCAAAAAGAAAAAAAATCACACACAACGAGGAGCCCTTTTAGTATGCGTTATAAATAACTCTCAGCTACAACCACACCAGATTTTAACACATCTGTAAAAAATAATTGTGTTAAAACTACTGTGTTTTTTAAGGTTAGATGGCGGTACAGCAGCCACCTAGAATCAGCATGACTCCTAATCGATTGTACAGTACATTCAGTGTTTACCTTCTGAAAGTTTCATTAAAATCAACGGTTCCTGAAATATTTTGCTAACAGACAGATGCACRAACATAGCTAATTAACATTAACAAACATAAATTGTCTTTACTTTTACAGATATGAGCTAACGTGTGCTGTTATGGCTGAGAGCCATCCTCTGAGCACTAACACACTGTGAGACATAACTTTTGGAGTCAGTCTCTGTGTTAGCAAAATATTAGTATTAAATATAAATGTATTATTGGATGTACATTTAGCTGATTAGCTTTCTGAGTCTACCTGATTAGAAATGGCTGCCACAACCAACCAACCTTAAAAAAACTAAAAAACAGCTGAAACTCAGTCGGTTTTACAGATATTCAGCTGTGTGGTAGTAGCTGAGATTCACCTGCAACACTTAAAGCTCTAACAGATCACACAGGATCTTTGTTCAAAAACGGCTGAAAAAAAGCTTTTAGTTGAAGTTTGAGTTTAAAATGTTTACTAGTGACCATAAAAAGCTTTTCTAGGTGGAAAACACAAACGTTTTAACCCTTTAGCATCATTTTGCGATAACGAGATAAATAACTTCTCATTAAAATATATGAGTAAGCTCTCCTGTGTGGAATGAACTCAAATGTCCGGCTGATGCTTTTCCTCTCTTCTCAGCAGAGCTCAGCTGATCTTAGATTTGTTGGGTTTATTTCAGAGTTGATTAAACCTAAGAGTTTAAACGTGTCGGGAACAAACGTGCTGAAACCTTTGAGTTTGTTGAGGCAACTCGGTCACATCTGCAGGAGAAAACGACAGCGCTGATGAGTCAGAAAACAAAACATGAGAGGCATTTTTCTTTTTTCTTTTTTTTTCATTTTACTTGGAGCAAGTCAAGGTAACCGAGCCGCGTTATAAGTGGCCTCATGAATATTTGAAGCTGGTTGCACAAGAGTTTTTGCAGTAAATTAAATCATTTATGAGTCGGGATCAGGTCCGGACTTACCTTGTCGCGACATAAGGGGCGAAGCAGACGATGAAGGAGCCGATGAAGATGCTGATCTTCTTCGTGGCTCGCTGCTTTCTCCTCTTCTGCTCTGCTAAACACCTCTGTTTAACGCTGCAAACAGCAGAAAGGTTCGGCCAGTCAGTTCCAGGTGAAATACTCTTCAGCAGACTCGAAAATGATACAAATTCTGCTTCAATTGAACGAAAACACAAAACAGGTTCAACTRTGTCTTTATTTAATGAGCCGAAACAGAAACGTTGTGCATTAAAGACAAAAACTCAACAGTTTTAGCGGTCTGACTGACAGCTTCATCGTCCCTCCATCACTGTGCTCACATGTGCTGCCATGTTCTTTTTTTTAACAAAGAGATGTTTTTCTTTGGTAACTCTACAAAATAAGACACAGTTCAGTTYTCTAATGGTTCTGTCATGGCCTTTAACCTGCTTTAACCATATATTATTTTTCTCCACAGTACAGTTGTAGACCCTTAAAACCACTCTGAGGTCCCACTGTTCTGAAGGTCTATCCTTTCCAGTTTTGTTTGTTTTATGCAATAAAAGCTCAAATWATGTTTACTTTTACACAAAGTTTATAAGTAACAAAGTTATCTTGTGTATTTATTTCASTGTGAACTGAATGCTAATCTTCCCGAGCTTACAGCAACTGAACGAGTGCTTCTGCAGTCTGATATTCTCCGAGCATTGCACAGTCTGACCTTGGGGTGAAATCTCTAAGACGTCCACACTGATTGATAACACATCTTCCGTGTTATTTGTGGATAATCTTTCTGACAGACTCCTTTACTGTATACTTGTGGGGTTTTGCTAGTATTTTGTTGCTTTTTGCGTTCTGATTTATTATTTATTTGTATTTTTGAGTTTGTTTCTCTGTCTCTCAGCTCGAAGTGGTCGACAGAGTCACAGATTTGTTCGTCAGCTGCCCTGCCTCCACTCACCTGTCTATGAGCTCTTTGATTTATTACAGTTTTGTCACAACGTCATCGTATAAGCATGATGGGGTGGCGCGTTTATCGATCCAAGTATTGATATCAAGATGAGTGTGGTGATGAGATATATTCTTTTATTTACGTTTTATTTGCACTACTGGCTGTATTTTTCACAGATAGTGAAAAAATAATCAGAGCAGATGGTTTGGAGTCAGTGGTTTTGTATACTTTTATCTTTGTTACATTGTTGTTCCCCTTTTTTGTCATTTTGCACTATTTTTTCTAAAATAATTGTTTGCAGTAGAAGGTAATAAGGGCATTAGTTGATTATTTTTATACTGTTACATTGCTTTATTTAATTTATTTGACTAACTAAAGGCAAAATCACTTATTCAATGAACATGACAGGTACTGGTGTGGACATCAGTATCTGTGATACTAGTAGTGTTGTAGTCAAGACCACCTAACCCGAGACCAAGTCAAGACCAAGACCACAGTGTCTCAAGACCGAGACAAGATCAAGACTTTTAGGGTTTGGACCAAGTTGAGACCAAGACCAAGACCAGATAAAAAAAAAGGTGCCCTAAAAGATGGAGTATTCTGTACACATGTACAGTTTGGGGAAAGTATTGGGTGACAGCTGGTAACAAAAATACATAAATAGCAATGACTCGGTTTTGGATTTGAATCTTTAAATCCAATGAAAGCAAGAATGTTAACTAATAAATTGGACAATAATCTGTATGTTTATATTATATATTTCCACAGTTGTGGTCTTGACTGGTCTTGAAATAAAATTCTGAGTCCAATGTCCGAGACCGAGACAAGACCGAGTACAAATGCTGTGGAGTCCGAGACGAGACCAAGACCATCAAAAACCGGTCTTGAGACCAAGACTGGTTTCAAGTACCGTACTACAACACTAGACAACACTAGATACCAGCCCCACATTTGGTGTCAAATTATATCAAAATTTCTAGTATTGCCCCCTTAAATCTTTTTACTTTCAAAGTATAAAAACTACTGTTTTCCTGTCAGCTCTAGTGTGAACTTGTCTTCATTTTGGGTTCACTTCCATCACATTTAACCCTTCTCAGACAGCAACAGTTAAGATGATTGATGTCTTTCTGCCCTGACATTGTGTCTCCTGCTGTTAGATCACATCAATCAGCAGCAGCAAAGCTGTTTTTACTGTTTAGGTTTAATAAATGATATAATAAGTTGGGATGTCTTGTGTTTTTGTTCACACTGGATTAGATTAGAATCACTAAAAGCCATCAAAGCTCAGATTAACCCTGAACAGAACGCGAGGCGGGTTACCTCGGGTGAATGTCCACCAGCAGGAACAGGGTCTGCATGGTGATGATGTCGATCCTCTTGCAGTGGAAGCGGGCCACCTTCAGCACTTTCAGGTAGGTGAAGCAGAGGATGAGCAGGGACAGCGCGAAGCTGGTRGCGTGGAACACCACGGTGAAGACGGAGAAGCGCAGCCGGTCCCCGCCCGCCTCGCCGCGCCGCTGCGGCGGCTGCAGGGTGCAGGACGCGTAGACGTGGCTGTAGTCGAGCCAGGAGAAGAGCAGCGCCGTCAGGGAGAAGGTAAAGGAGTGCAGCCAGGAGTAGCACACCATRATCAGCGCGTCCTTGTAGCGCATCTTGGTGGCGTAGCTGAGCGGGAAGACCACCGCGATCCAGCGGTCGATGCTGAGCGCGGCCATGCTCAGCATGGTGTTGGCCGTCAGGAAGGTCTCCAGGAAGCTGACGGCGCGGCACGCGCAGTCCCCGAACGGCTGCTGGTTCCGCACGATCCCCACCAGCGTGGCGGGCATGTTGAGGACCGTGATGAGGATGTTGCAGAAGGACAGGTTCATGGTGAACACCCCCGGCACCTGGCGGCGGATCTCGGTGCTGTGGACGAAGCAGAGCAGCACCAACAGGTTGGAGAGCAGCGACACGACGGCCACCGCCACGATGACCAGCGCCACCACGGTCTCAGCAAAGTCCATGACTCCTCTTCCCCCACGGGGGGAGGGCGGGTTTAACCTGCGCCGGGATCCTCCATGGTCCGCCTCACCTGCGTGCGCCCCTCCAGCTCCAGCTCCAGCGAGAAAAAAACCGGAGAAATCCGCGGTGCGTCCGCGCGCCTCACGGTCCTCTCCAACTTTCTGCAGCGCTCTCCAGCGTGCTGAACTCACAGCCCACCCCCATCCCCCCACCGAAAAACATCCAACAAACAGCAACAAGTACGAAAGGAATATTTTCCTCCGCGTGCATCCAAGAAGAGCGGCGGAGGAGATTTGGAGAGGTGGATCAGCGCGCGCGCGYGGCGAGTCTTTCAGCGCGCGGCCCACTCATCTTTTAGTGGTGGGAGGAGGAGGAGGGGTGATGAAGAGCATAAGCACTGAAGTGAATGACCTATATAACAGATTACACAAATTAATTTAAAAGTAATATTTTCTCTGAAATGTTAAAAAACAACATTTTTCAGCTTGGTTTTTGAACAAACTTACCAAGGAATAAAAAAATACAAATACTCTTATTAATACCAGCAAGTATTTATTAATTTGTTTACATTTTTGAGTAATCTGTGTGCTCTCTGGTGTGCAATGATCAGGTGTGACTAAAGAGGCGCAGAGACGAKCTGCGGGTCTGTGTGAGCGGCTGAAGGCAGCAGGTGCGCGCGGACACGTGGTTTCTGTCAGACACCAATTATTCAAGATGCAAGAAGTAGAATCTGTGTCCGACATCTGTAAACATTCACAGCAGAACAGGACCTGACAGCAGGTTGTTGTTTGTGCGAAAAGAAAACAAAAAAAATTTCAGGTTATTTTTTTATTATTATGCCAATAAAATAAGAATAAAATGTTCTTCTGTTTGTTTTGTTGTTTTAATTTCAGATTTACTGGAGAAAAAGAAATAAAGCCTTTACTTTAGAGCTATTCAACTGGTGGTCCGGGGGCCACATCCAGCCTGCAGGTGAGCTCAGTTCGGTCCACCAATAACTTTATTTAAAATAAAACTGGATTTTAAGTCAGAGAGAAATTTCATGAAAGAAACATTAAAAACATGTGATCTGAGACCTAAACATCTGCAATAAGTTTTTTAAAACTGTTTCCGTAATAACAATAACAGATGTTCGGYCCCTGACCTGTTGGCTTTCAGTAATTGTGGCCCAGATTTACTTAAATATCTCTGATTTAGTTATTTCAATAAAAATGAAAAATAAGGAACTTTATAAGCCAATAAACTGATGAYGTTCATTAAATGTGTTGTTTTCAAAAAGGTATACGAACAATCAGTATCTTACCTGTTCAATGACCACATTAGTGATTTTTGATTTTTCTTTAAATACAAAGTTTATGGAAGTTTGAATGAAAAAGCAGACTCAGCATTTTATTTAATTGGGTTTTTTTTGTGTTTCATTGTTTAAGTTAAAAGTAAAGAAAAAGAATTCAATTCAACAATAAATAAATAAAAAAAATTGTCAGTTTTGACTCACAATTAAAAAAACATCATCCGGTTTGAAGCACGTGTGTTTTGGGGAACACGCTGAGTCACGCCTGACTCACAGACAGGGCCTGCAGGGGGTCCTGGATCCTTTTTTTGTTCTTTTAAATAATAAATCATTTTCAGGYAAAAGTCTTCATCCCACCTCGTTCAACACAATAATTATTTAACAGAGTGACACAATAAAAACACATCACTTTTAAAGTGATGATTTGGGTCAGAACCTGAAGTGAACACATGTGTCTCTGCTGTTAGAGCTCTGTGTGTGTGTGTGTGTGTGTGTGTGTGTGTGTGTGTGTGTGTGTGTGTGTGTGTGT